AAAATTTAAAAATAAACTCGATAACTTTTTTATGTGGTAAACTCACCTTCCCAGCTCAACGCAAGCAATTTTTATTTTTTTTCGTTAATAGACTATACATGCTAATCATGGACAAGTAAGACTTTGTTAATAATTCTTTATTTTCTATAGCTAAGAAGGCACTTAATATAATTTAAAACGATTGATAGGTATGATAAAAACTAGCACGCTGATCTAGAGATGCTCGTGACACACCCAGACGAAACTGGTATCCATGATCCAGTTTTATGTGCTGGACACGACACACCAAACCTCCATACAAACCTGGCTAACTCTGTGGTTGCTCGAAATAACGAGCGTGATGCATGCATGGGTCAATATTTATTTAGCGTAGCCGGTTACTGGCACAGTGGCTAAAATTTCGTAAATGTTTTTCTTCATTTAGGCCCACGAATGGCAATGTGTGTTTCTGTTTTCAAAAATTTCGAAATCTTGCCGTGCATTAGGTTTACTAAGGTTATTAATTATATATGAAATTGCTCATCTTCTAATTTTGATTATTATATAATGCATTATTTGTTCACTAGTTCAGTTCTATCGCGCATCACGTGGATTAATTAAGTTCACTTGGAATCTTCAATAGCTGAATAAAGTTCAACGAAGTACTGGAATATTGTGAATTATTAGGCAAAAACTAATCTTTTGCTCCGGTTTTGGTTACAAGAACGTGAGTTTTAGTTTGGTTACAACGGGCTCGCGAGTTTATTTTGCAGTGTTAGGGTAAAATGTGAGTTGCATGAGTTTGGGGTAAGATCGACATGTGAGATCTGAGATTAATTTCTGAATCTCTCATTCCATGTGATAATTGCTAATATATTTCTCGCACGAAAAGTTGGAGAATAATACATCTTTTTAATTATACAACTAATGAAAAATGAAAGCGAATGGAAGGAACTAAATTTTCGGAAATGCCAGCATATAAATGCGCCTGTGCTGACTTTATTCTTTTATTTTATACGTTCTTTTATTTTAGAGAGCAAATAATTCTTTCAGCTTTTCGGTCCACTGATTATTTACCGCCTTCAACTTTATTGCAAATAAAAGACACGCTGATGTCTTCTTGGGCTTCCTCTATTGAGAGCAGACAAGTCACCAAAAACCTTAAATGAATTTTTCCTCCAGAACTTTGCGAGAAAATGAATTTTTTTGGAGACTTGAGAAGTCTTGCTGGGAAAGTTGGGAAATCAGACATAATTAAGAGGTGTTTGCGCGGCGTCAACTGAACTTTAAATGAAAATGAAACGGAATGATCATGACTTAGTTTCATTGAAAAACAGTTCTTGCTGTAGGCTTTGTGAACATATTGTCAGAAATTGACACTGTTTCCATTGTTACTGTGATCACGATTTTTTAAGAGAACTAAATCGCAAATATTTTTTGCTCCAGAATTATGAGGTATGTAATATATGAATTTTAACTCTTTTAAATATAATGTAAACTACTCATTTCCTGTGAAAAGCACATTAATTATTATATTGTCTGAGACTTCAGGATGCTCCCTACCCTGAATCATTAACAATTAACAAACTTTAACCAACAAGCAAACTAGATCTAGTTTTGAAATATGGAAATTCTCCTTTCTTCGATGTTTATTGTTGATTTGAAGGGTTCTCTATACAGTATAATTATAATAAAATAGCTTTATTATTATTAACAAGATTAAGGGTGATGGGAATGGCGGGATTGGGATCCCAAAACTGCAGGTACGAATCAAGCCCAGAAAACGCCTAGGCTAACCAACTAGTTTCTAATGAGAGTCATTCTTTGGTCATTAACAAAACATGTATTTTACCACAAGTTCTGTCTCACATTCCCCATCTAAAAGTGTTCCAATTATTTTGTTAAGAAAATTAGTGAAAATTTTCTTCTACAAGTTTTGTAAATATACATGGCTTATTCTAACGCGTATCCAGGATACTCGTTGTTCTGGGTTATTACCCAAAAGCACTCCGACACTCCCGACGCTCTCGGGAATTTTGCCGCTGCTTCAGGGTGCGCTGGAAATAATTTAACTTTGATTCAATGCCGTGTTTCTTTTCATCTTGACCTTAAATTTTATTTAGATGACTAAGAAAATGAGGCGTTGCGGAACGGTCGGGTAAAGAACGCTTGGGACATAAGTCGAAGCTCAATTGAGTGAATTTATTCATTCGCAATAATTGAGTGAATTTACTCATTTGCAATAATTGAGTGAATGTGCTTTAAAACGACCGGAAAAAAGTTTTGCAGCTTCTGAAAGGATTCAAATGAGAGTTCTAAGTTAGATATGAATCAAATGACAATAATGCCGGAGTTATTTTTAACAATCATTAGAATTAAGCAAAATAACTATTAAGAGAATTAAATGAAGTGATGTTCTTAAATCTCAAATATTATAGCACTTAACAAATGTGAAAGAAGTTAAGAAATATAAGTTTTATGTCTCAGTCTTATTTCATTATATGAGATGACTGGAATCTCTGCGTTAGTTAAGAGTTTTCAACGGGTTATCCTTTAATTAAATAGGTTTGGCTCTTTAATTTATTGCAGAATTCTTTCAAACGGCGTTTGAGTTGGCGAAATTAAGGATGGCAAAAAGTCGCGCTGATGGATTTATGGAATCACGGGATTCATTATAACTGATGATGTTTCTTTTAAGCATCAAAAAAGCATCTCTAGCAACTCCGTGCCAATATTTTGTATTATTCTGTTCTGGTACATCCGGTTTTTTGTTACAAGTTTTTTGTTACAAGTTATTTCTGTCTTATTGGAGGAAATGAAACGTCAATTTAGTTATTCGATGTATGTAAAACATATTGAATCCGTCGTCTTCAGGTGATCAAAATCTCATGGAAGACAAAAAATACTGCAAAATGCAGCCTAAACGCTGTTAAAGAGAATGCACTACGAGTTAATGAATTGCTTAGAGAATGCCTGTACTGAGATTGAACTCAACTTACTGTTGTTTAGCAAGGTCACGTCGCAACTCAGGCCTACAGAAGTTACTCCAAAAATACAAAACATTTTAGTGAGTTGCTTCATCAAGAGAAGAACTGCCAGCCTTCACATTATACTGCATTTGCAAAACGTGTTTATAAAATTAAAAGAAAAGCTATAACCTTGAGCTTACAAGTAATGTTAGAGAACGAATTTCGGATCTTCTGTACCTGTTATAAGAGACTTTAGTCATTCTATCTCGACGTGTCTTGAGACAGGTCATGTGCACTTTTGGGAATTTCGGTGAACAATGAATAAGCATTGAGTAAATTCAAATTGAAGAGCCGGAGATCTAATCCTGCAGGATTTGGATTGTTTGCATTTCACGTTTAAGAATAAGTGATATTACTATCAATTTTTTCGAAAAACTACGAGTTTTCATCGAAAATGACGTGTTTACTGATAATTGATGCTTGAATGAATTTAAATATTTTATCATATCGTTTCCCATTTTTTTAGTCACTCGACTACAATAGTGTGTATCTGTGATTACGGAAAATATTGGTATGCTAGGTGGTGGCATGAGCTTGCGTGTATTGAAAACGAGACTGGTAATGTGTTATGAAATGAGAATGTTGGGATCGAAAAAATGGGATCGCTGTTCTCCATTCTCCTTGCAGCTTGACGAAAAAATATACTTGTGATACGTCATTTGTTTGCTAATTATGATCACACTTAAAGACTGACTCCATAAGAAATGATCGTCAAAATTCATCGATAGTTATATACTTCCAATTTTGACTGTGGATTATTAAAAATCTATGACATATGAGAATGAGAAATCACTGCCGAATTTCACGATGGTACGTAACCAGAATAGATAATATCGAAACATTCAAACAAATTTACCATAAAGGAGAAAGTTTATACTCCTCATTTCACTCTTCACGAAACCAACGTACAACATATAATAGAGCTACAACCAGACGAGCTATATGCGCAAGTCTCTGCTCACAAAAAATGAAGATGATAACTTCATAAATTCAAACACCGAGGTTGTACAATTATTATTTTTTCTTCTCAATGAACTAAATATTGAAACATTATCCAGTATTCGATGACTGCTTGTAGTCCACTGTCTCCTTAAATTCGTGCTACTATGACAAATAAAGAAAATTTTTGTTTAAAACTTTCTTCATGTGAAATGAAAAGCAAATTAGCAAGGTTTATTAAACGTTTCGCTTGAAATTTACTTAGAGTTCCTTGAAACTGAAGACTCAGTGGTGATAATATGCAAGATCTTATATCGATTATTTAGAAATTCTTTGTAAGGTCGTATATTCAACAAATGCATTCACACTTATTAAGAATGCATTCACACTTTATTAAGTGTGAATGCACAACAACAAATGCGTTCACACTTAATTAAGAATGCAACTTTTCCTGGAATAGAATCTATTAAGATTGAACGTATCTCCTCATAGGCCATTTACTTATAACATTGGCCGTCACGACAAAAATTTAGATCAACCCTATAAATCTTCGAGCAACAAAATGTCTGAACACTCTATTAAAATTATATCCATCCCCTAAACCCAAACCATAGAAACTTAATGATCATAATGCTTTATACTTCTAAAATTATTGTAAAACATCGATCAAGATTCCATTAAAATCATTTGAATTTAATATTGATGTTTGTATTTTACGTTGGATCTTACTTGCATTTTAGCTAATGTAGAATGAAGACATTTTTCATCCGTTTTTGAATCTAAGGCAGTTACGAGAGAATGAAAGATTAAAAGATATAGAATTCAAGATATTAAAGTTAACGCAATATTTACAAGCTACCTAGCTACCAATGGCATCATCTCGCAACAAACGCCTCGAAAGTTTATCAACTTATTTGACTAATTACGAGGGTTACAATCATAGCACGGAGAAATTCACACTTGGATAAAGTATATGAATTTCCGACTAAATTTTGTCTATAATGTTTTATTGGTGTTTATTGTCTTTACATTATTTCATATCTAAAAATTCTGTAAAAGAAAGGAAAGTCACGTAAGGCCTACTAGAACATTGGTTTGACTTGTCATGAAAAGTGAGCGAAATGAATGCGCTCGCTTCCTATGTAAAAAGACTATGTTTCTACTTGTCGAAACTGCTTCTTCCCACAAACATAAATTAGGAATTAAAATGATGTTCCACAAATATTTGTATTATATTGTTTGAAATTTTCGGAGTGAATTCGCTTGTAATTCAGTGACTTCTTGATAAAAATTACGAAATATTCTCAGGCAAAAATTATCAATTCCATTGAATCTATTGGCAAATTATCAATTCCATTGAATAGTTTTCGGAGTTTCGCAAGTTGTCAAGCAACTTGCACAGTTTTTGTTCTGGCGAGTTATCATGATCGGAAATCTACATATAAACTAATCAATAATTCCCTTTTGCTAATGCTAAAAAAATCGCACAACTAATACATTCCCCATGTGGGGTTCTCAGGATCGTCTCCAGGCTTGCCATTAGCACCATTGCTTTTTCTCGCCGGGGGGCCGAAGCCTGCTCCGTTGGAATACAAGTCCTTGTTCCATCCTGTAAACTTAGGATAGGTCGCTTTGGGGGCCGTGCTAAAATTACCATCAATGGCCCTCTGGCCATCCTCAGTGGGAGTCTCGGCACCATCAGGGCTGTTCACAGGCCCTGTTTCTGAATCCTTTTGGGAACGGCCACCTTCGGATTCTTCTTGTTCTTTGTCCAGGACACAGGTGACCTCTTCTTCGCTGTAGTCCACTGGAGGGTCCGGCCTGGATTGCTGGTCCAGGGAGACCTCGTTCTCTTCCACGTATGCCGGGTTCTCCTTGGCGTGGCCCGTTGCTATCGTCGTAGCGTTGGGTTTGTCGTAAGTGTTCTTTCGACCACCGCTTGCTCCTGCAGGCATCACGTACTGCACGTCTGAAACAAGAAGGTTTAGTTGTCAAACGTTGATTTTGGTAATAATAATATTACACAATGTTTTATGATATTAGAACTCTGTGAAATCAAGTACCACTGCTGGACATTTTCAGAACATCTTTCATTAAAAAGCGTTGTCCGACTCGTACGTTTCTCCCTTATTTATTTCAAGTTATGTCGGACAAAAAGTGACCTCGTGCTGGGTTTGGACTCTGGGAAAAAAGCAATACAAAGATAAAGTACAACAACTTGCGGTAAAATGTATTAATTAAGGATATCGCTGGGTCTCTCAATTAAATGTTCATAAGTTCGTAATTTCAAACGTTATGCAGAGTTCACTGAGTGAAATTTCACGATTTATCGTTGCAATTGAAATCATATGGAGATTTTTCTGTCTATCATACGAGATGGGCACAAAAGAACGGGATCTTTATTTCCAATGATCGGCTTAACTCTTTCAAAAAAGTATAATCCGCAATGCCTCAAAATTTAACGACAAATGACGGTCATAGTGGACCAGAAGAATTTCCTGCCCACAAAGTCAAATAAAGCCGCGTAATTTTTGCCATGAAAAGCAGATTGGTAGCAAAACACTGCTCGTTTGGCTCGGCTCAATTCGTTTATTGGAAGATAAATCGGATTACGAGCTTGAAGATAACCATGAACTACAGGACTGGAGCTGGTCGAGCATTGGTCACAATATCATTACAGGCAGAACGATACGCGCGTTTGTTATGTTTGAAAGCTGCACTTGTTCCGACGATATTTTAGATCAAGAGAAGACAACATATATGGAGACATGGAATAATCTTGCGCGGTTAGTAATATCATGGAAATGCTGGCAACAAGTAGTTAAAGATTTCTGTTTAATAGCATGAAATGACAGTCATAAACATAATGATACTGTTATTCTAAAAAAACATGTTTCTGAATTTTTGCGTTCCCGTGGCATCCTAGTTCTCAGATGACGGATGAGCGGAGAGTGGAATTTATTTTGTACTGGACCCCAGTGAAAATTTATAGACGCAGCAGCTTCTGATTTGAATTACCAGAAGCTGGGGTGACTCTAAATTTTGTCAGGGATGCCACTATGATTGTTCAAGTTCAGCGTCTATTGAGAATTAGTGGAAATGCTGAACGTAATTGTCATATTCACATCTTTGTTGCTGCGCATCAAGAACCAGGGATCGTCTTGATATTCTAACAACGCTGTCAGCGCTTCCTAGGACAGAACCCCGGACTAGTCATTGCAAAAGTAATTATAAATTTATAGTGAAAAATAAAATTATCTATACTAAACAGCTCCTTAAATTACATCACAACTCTGGTTTCCTCGTGCTTCGGTGGAACAAAATAGTCATTAGAGCCTTGCAATAACTGACAAGATGCAGTACCAAATTACAAAACTCGTTTTGCTTGTTTGGAGGCAGCAATAATGTACGTGATTCATAGAGATGCATATACCTAAATAATTCGTCTCGCATCATTTTTTTTATTCCTGCAAATAGTGATTTTTCTCTGTAATTAGTTTTTGGCTTTGGATGCGACGATATTGAGCCAAAATTTTATGGTGATATGCGTCAGACATTCCAGATGTCTAACCCGTCACACCAGGTAATGCAGTGTCAGTCACACCAGGTAATGCAGTGTCAGTCACACCAGGTAATGCAGTGTCAGTCACACCAGGTAATGCAGAGATAAGTGTCAGTCACACCAGGTAATGCAGTGTCAGTCACACCAGGTAATGCAGTGTCAGTCACACCAGGTAATGCAGTGTCAGTCACACCAGGTAATGTACATGATTACCCTCTCACCTCCCAAAGGATTGGCTGTTATATCCTTGCCTCCAGCCACCATCTGCCACTCTGGGTCAATGATCTGGAAGCTCTGAAATATATTTTCAACTGCAAATTAGCTAGGTTTTTAAAGATACAAATTCTCAAGCGTCACTGTAAAAAAAATTGCTTAAATCGTACCAGAATTGAAAATTTGTTGAACGTAATTGGAATCATTGAAATACTGGAATATATGATAAAATTCCGACTGAATATTATGAAAAACAGAATGGTATAACAAAACATATGAATGCGTTACTTCGTTTTAAATTTCTATTTTCAAACAAATTAAATCAATTTGTATAATAGATAAAGTCTTCTCATGAGGATTTTTTATTACCTAGAATATGACAAATTGAGAATGTAAACTTTTCGTTATTAAATTATAAAAGAATAACTATGAAGTCAACCGAGTCCTTGTTTATTACGTAACGATCGCTGCACACGCGGGTTCAGCATATTTTTACTATGTTTCGGTCTTGAAATTTCGGTAGAAATAACTACATTAAATAATAAAATACAGGATTCTGAGGATTGAAATTCTGTTAATTACAAATAATGGCAACTACAAAAGGTATTCGTATTATGTTTATTCTGAAATTAATAGAAGTTTTCCAAACTACACTTAACTCCTTCTGGGGCGGTCATTGATTTACCAATAATTATTATTAAAAATAATTAATTAATAATTATTTTCTTGCTTTATATATATTCCATTAAAATCAGCTTCTTCATAAATTCGTAAAAAATAAATCGAATTTTGTTGACATTTAAAAGTAAACGACTTAAAGAAAGTAAACGACTTAAAGGTTGACTAACACGTGTGTTGTGTTTTTCATCCCTGTTTTTAAGCTCGGTGACGCGCGTAGATCAAACGTATCTTCAAGGCTCTCAGGCAGGAAATTTCCAAGCCAGGAAATGCGTGTTCACGGTCAGCGATTCTTGTTGAACGCATCTCATTTGCAATGCTGTGTGAGCCTGCTACTTCGCTTTTGAAATGTTTTGTTGTTTTCTAATGGATTAGACCGGTTGACGACGCAATAGACACTTCGCAGAAATAAAATAAAAACTTTTGGCAGAGGCTTGCGTAAGATCATGTGAATGCATATATAAACAACTTAATTTTCGGCAATTATTTAGACTTGTTTTTACCTATTACAGAAGTTCTTGAGAAAATTCATTCGGTGTTTTTACCGGTTACTGAAATTTGTTGATGAATGATAACATAATTATTTTCGGTAGCCTATACGGATGGCACTGAAGATAACCCAATCCTATAATATTTGAGGTCATTCATGTTGACTCCAAATTATGGAATGAAAGTTCGAAAAATGGTTGCTAGGCCTTTGTACGGTATAATTCACCTTAACATATCCCAATCCACATTTTTTAAGTAAAAATTTCCTGGCCAAAATAGAGGAAGATTAAGCTTTATTTAAATAGATTAAAAAATTCCTCACCTCATGGGTGATGTTCTTCTGCTTGCGGTATCGTTGGCTACCCCATTTCCTTGGCTTCCCGGAGATTTCCCTGATGTCGTCTCTGAGCTTCAAGAGGAAACAAGGCACAAACACCAGCAACAAGAAGGCTAAGCACAGCACTGGAGGCAGCACTAAGAAGTACGGGTCTAAATCCCTGGGCGTAAAGTCTGCATAGTTTATTGCAGGAGGAATATCAACATTCTTCCACAACGCCAAAACTTCCTCACGTTTTTTATCTTGGTCCACTTGAGTATAATCGTAGGGCTCTCTTTCGACGTCAGGATTAAAATAATAGTAGTCATAATCGTCGGCCAGGAAAGGATTGAAGGTGTCGTTTGATTTTTCTCCGAAGTCTGTATCGAATATCGGGGCTTCTGTAGTGTCGTTGGAAACATCAAGGGATGTGATGTCAGTGTCGTAGAATGGAATTTCGGTGCGAGTGTTTTCAAAAAAGTCTACGTCTGTCATGTGGGAAGAATTGGATGGTGGACTAGTTATTACATCAATAGTGATCAAAGGCTCTGAGGAATTTGATGTAATTAGACTTGATGCATTGTCTGGTGCAGACGTTGCCATGGGCTTCAGCATATCAGGCGACATTATACTCACAGCTTCGTTTGGATCAGAACCGACCAAAGGCCTGCTTAGCTTGGGTGGAGCGACTGTAGTGAGGTTCATGTTTTGAGTGGCTGGTATATCAGAGGCACCACTTGACACAGAACTCATGTTGAGTGGTGCATTTTCTGTCGTTGAGCCTTCTAAGCCCGTTTCACCTAACGTGCTGCTCATTTTACGCACGAGCTACCGATGTGATTATTAAAATTATATAAGCTCTCTTGAACAAAGAGTTACTTATTACCCTGAAAACTTTATCTCTTAACAGTCTCTGATATTATTTTTTGGGGATAAGGAACATTAAGAAGGTAATACATACAGTATAAATTAATATACGTTATACTATGGTCAAAGTTGATCATAATACTATTAAAATTACTAAAACATTAAAAAGATTATTGTAATCAATGTCACCGTGTTATTGCATGTAGTTGCGTCAATAAGAATTCTACAGCTTTTTTACAAAACTCAGAACAATTCTCATTACAACGTTCAACTAGAACAAGAAAAATTTCACCCTCCAGCTATAGCAATAGCCGCACATGAATAACTTTTTATCACTATCAAATCGTTCAGACTCTCGATCGCTGTTCTCAGGATGATGGCCTCAGAAGCTGAGTGGTAATTTCCTTGATGCGCTGAAGGGCAGATTTTAAATTGATTTAACAGTTTTAATCGCGGAACTCAAATAGCCATTTTAGTGCAATTTGCTTTCCTTTGTTTCGTCGTCAATTAATGACAAGTCTGTCATTGCCAAGCAATATCTACTTCGTTACAATGTATTATTTGATTCCTAATATGAATAATGACTGATTTAAACTTAACATTCGTTAGTACTCTCTCTGCCTCTCACACTAAATGCGAAATTATTTAAAAAAACTGTCATAGTTAGTCGATTGTTTTCTTCTCCAATACACTCTACGCAATATCAAGTAATTTCTTCATTGATGTCTTCCTAATTGTCTGAAAATTTTTAACATATAGTACGACAAATACCTTAAATTCATTTTTAAGTAGACTAAAGTAAATCGTAAGATTTGAATCTCCAAGCCTAAGCATAAAACTGCGAGCGTTAATAAGCTCATCATCGAAAATTATTTCAGTTAATTACGCATGAGAAAGTGGCAACCATAATCGTGAAAGGCCTCAATGTCAACAGTCGCTCTGCTCACGCTCTCGTGGGCGGCGATTCTTAACCTTCACCTTGTCGTAATTGCCTCTGATACCATGAGCAATAATAATTGTTATGACTGGGATGGGAGTAAATTAGAACAGCCCTGAGATTCCAGTTCACAAACTTCATTGCAACATCAAACGTAAATGAGGAAGTCGATCACTTTTAGAGAATCTTTGCAATGAGTAACGCGAAGAATGGATAGGCAGCGGAAATCGTGGTCGTATACTTTGCTGTGTCACCTGTAAAGCTGTATTAATGTGGTCTACGGACCAGTTTGCACAAATCAAAAGTCTGCGATCTCAATTTCACTTAAAAATATTTTATATTATGCTGCGAACCATCTCAGTATACACGGCGCACCGTGACGTCGAGATCGCGAAAGTAACAGTAAAGCCTAGCTCGAAATCAGATTCAACAATGTCCGAAAAACGGTTAGATAAAACGGTGAGAAAAAACGGTTGGAGTGGCGTTTTAGCGGCGGCTAGCCGTCCCGTGAAATTCGACCAAGATAGTTCGGGCTTCATATGCTAACTTACCCACAACAACTACGATATGGATTTATTTCAGTCAATAAAACCCCTGTCCGACCGTTTTTCGAACAGTAAAGCAGAAAGGATGCTCAAGATTCTGGAACGGTCCAGATGAAACTTCAAGGCCGAGGAGCCATATAACCCCACGTGCGTTTACATGGCCAGCGCGGGCCAAGGATGGCGCTGCCTCCGCACCCGAACACTGAACAACAGCTTAGTTCATCCTATAACACGGCGTCGCCTTCAAGAGGAGGGCGTGTTTTCTTCATCATTGTGTTAGGTGATCTCGATGTTTAGTTTTATCGCAATGTTTTATGAAGGGCAACTTGCGCTGCCCCGCTCGCTCATTGCTTTCCATGCCTGTTGCTGTCTGCATTGTGTGCCTAATAATGGCAAACAAACGAGTACACTGGCATAAATGCTGAGGATGCTTCCAATATTCAAGTTTTTATTGTTCTTCAAACTATCCCAAGTGTGAGCATTTATAACCAACTGTCATTACTTAGTCCTGACTCAAAATATAAACATATATCAACAATAGTTGAATGTTTAGATATATGATGTTTAAAAATATTGAATCTTAGAAGTTTCTTGCACATTGCAACATCGCAACACGCCCAATCTTTTAGTTTAATTTGAATATTAAGTTCACTAAAGTAAATGACACAGGTAGATCTAATTAAGATTCCTCGCATCCATTGATTTTTGTGGAAATAAAAATGGAAGTAAATGCCATCAACGATTTAAAAACTGATGTATAGAGGATTTTATGATCATGCAGAGTGGAGTAATAATACGTAGTCTATAAACATTCACTGAACTATTCGTTCGCTACTAAGTGATATAATCATTCACCGAACTACTCCAACACTATTAGGTGATACTTAGTTCACTATAGCACAGATACACTACTTGGTGAAACGTAGTTCCTAATCGACAGGTACACTAATATGCCATACATAGTTCAATTAGCTACTGCACACTACTAGGTACTAGGAGATGCATACTTCACTGAACTACTAGTTTGTTAGTGTATAGTTGTGATGGCTGATAAGTCAAAGCCAGCTTAGACAACTTCTGATGCAATGGTACTCTAATGTGGATAGCAATGATAAGTAGCACAATTATTAATAATAATTGTTGTTCACGAAACGACTAGTCTACTATTAAACTAATAAGTGACACTAAGATACCGTGACCTGCCAGTGCGAGGTCACATAAGATCCTTGAAGCGAGGATGGAGTTGTGTTGCATGTCGATCATTCCGTGTGCTATACCGAGACAACCAACCTCGCTGCCTCTGTGCCATTTCTTTTGTATCCATCTCGTGAGCGATTGCAAGAAGCACGGCAATAAAAAGCCAATATAAAACAGTGTCAGCTGATATTTTCAGGCCACGTTCTAGACTCTAAATGACACCGGCCAAAATTTTAGCTGTAATTTTAGACTCACAATGATGCCAACAGATATTGACAGTCAAAGTATTAGTCTCTCAATTATGCTTTTTGAGGTTTTCAAGCGAAAAATAATGTCTACGCTAGTTAAGATTTGCATTTACTTGCTACTTATGATATTCTAATTAATGCCATTTTTCAATTTAAAGCTAATATGGGATCTTCTCCTTGAACCTTCTGCCATTTGATTACAACCGTCTAGAATATAAATATATCTCTATTATGACATGTTTCGAGTGTATATATTGTAGCCTAATCTCATTGTTTAGTCGTCTCAGGATTGTATGTCATCTCAAAAGGTCCTTTCACCTCGTGCTAGGATAACAAATTAAGTTACAGGTTCTGAGGACGATATAATTACTGAGTATTGTGCGACCGAAGACAGGTGGTCTGGGAGACCAAGCAATATTGCAATACTTAACAGCTAACTCGATGTTGTGAATCATCATTTAAACATGAATCAAGTTTTACCCTAATTTACAGTAAGAAATTACGTAATCGCAGGTTTGTCCAAGCAAGTTTTACCCCCTTCTCAGTTTTATTTAATCAATTTTTGCCACTTTCTAGTTTTTCAATTCTGAACAATTTAAATAAGAGACGATCATCCAAAACTTCAATGGCATTTTTATGCAGATGATTGCAGCCTTCCCCCTAATACTGGGCCAACAAATAAACCGAGACTAGTGCGTGCGACATCCATACATCACATCCTCCCGCTCTGATGAAAGAGAAAGGTTCAAGTGCATTGTGTCATTCATACGAGCAGCTGAGGCCTTGCCGAGACATGCGGTCGAGAGGGAAAGCAGAATTGTAACGAGACGTCGTGATGGATCGCAGCGTCAGATGTGCGTGTGGCCGATGATTGTTGCTCTAGCTGTAGTAAGATCGAACTCGAGGCACGATCAAGATTTCGTGTTATTCTTTTGACGGAAAGAATGTGAAAGCTCGAATATTTTAACGTTTTAGCTGGAATATTTTATCGCGGATCTCCTCACAGTGGATGCTTGTTTTTGCACTGAACAATTGCAGAATAACGGCGGTTATACTGCCAACAAAAGACTTTTATTACAATATTTCTTGAATAATTTTATTGCAAAATTTTACGATGAGATTTTTTCAACTTGATATATCAACACTATTTCTAGCTTGAGATAAATTATTTATTCCAATTAGAGTCTGCAAGATCATAGACTGTTTCTTGATGACCAAAGCGAACCTAGTGTTTACCGAGACACTCATGGGAAATAACTTTAAACTCGAAAGAAATTAGCAGCTAATTATGTTAGGTTTCGATAATAAAATATAATAAATCAGGCTATCTTTATAAAAAATTTTATGACTAAGTGGCAAGTGGCGCCTAGGTTTTTCTCAACAACGATAGGATCGTTTAGATTATCATGTAGGATCGTTGAAAAATTATTGATAAACTTTCTGCCTAGTCCTCGATTTTAAAATTTTAACAAATTAAGGCCTGACTGAACGTGTGAACTCAAAATTATTATTTCCACCATAAATATTGGTTTGTGACTTTTTCCAATAAAAATTCGGGCATGTTTCTCAACTTGATTTGAAGAAAAGTAATTTTGTTTCTCATGTATTTACTGCATTTTGTGTACAATTTCCTTTATACCTTTTAATGCTTTTCATTAGTATTTTTTCTGGGAGCAATGTCTGTGAACATCTCATAGAAGATCTTCGCTTCACTCTAGCCTTTTCATGTAATCTACACAAAAAAAACGAAGAACACAACTTTGAAAATAAATGATTCATCAGTAAAATTGTATTTCGATGTTACATATTTCCTAAGAAAAATAATGTGAGAAATAACAATTTGGCTCCAACTATAAATTGAACCGCCAATAATTATTTTCTTATTCATTTGAATTTCCCAATTCACTTTTGAAATATCGATGCCCTCCACATTCAACACAGTGACATTGTGTCCCACATTGGGAATTTAAATAATATTTGACATCTGATAGGTATATATATGTATATCATGTTTATTTTAAAATTTCTACCTGAGATTTGAGAAATTTGTATCTGGCTCACAAAGTTCAAGTGAGACTTTCAAGCCTCTCGAGCTCTGACCGATTTTGAATTGACTCGGTAATCCTACA